CATCAAGTTATTTGTATTTTTAAAAATTTCCCTATGATTATTTATGCATTTATACCTCATGCAGCACTGCAATGAGAGTGGTAACTTTGACCCACACACAACATTACTTCACCCCCCCAAAATATGTCAGAAGGTCCACATACCCTAACATCAGCACCACCGCCATGACTGTATGCTTCTTTTGTGAAGTCATGGCTCTGTTGATATAATGAAAGGGAGGGAAGGTTTATCAAAGGGGTTATTAAATGTCATGTCAAAGCGGATTCCCACCGCATTTACCACAATCAACTGATAACATAAAACATATTTTACACAACAATATATTTTTATAACATAACGCAATGAGAACACTTCTCTGGACTGTAAAGACTTTTAATTAAACACTTCCTGTTAAAACAGTTGTAATTCCTAATAACAATTTAAAACAAACAAACAAACATACATAATATACATACTGAAAAAATAAACCAAAATGACAAAACTGTTTTGTTGAGATTAGCCTGAAGCCTCTGGAAACATGTAGGTGCGCTAAATAAAAATGTGTCATGTGTTGAGTGAAATGTGGTGTGAAATTCACTTACAGGCATGGCCTCCTTTAAAAATAACCCCCCCAAGCATTTTGAGCGTATAAATTTTCACTTTAAGTATATCGTGCAGTATATATATTTATGTCCTCACTACTTACTAGCTATGACACACAATAACCCAGTCTTTACAAGTCTGATTGTGAATGTATACGTTCTTTACCTTTCCTTCCACAACATCTTGAGTTACACTTACCCTACTGCCGGTGTGACGGCGCCGGTTTGACATGGGGGACGTGCTCTGGCTCTTCCTGCGCCGGTATTCAGGGCTGTAGGAACGAGAACGGGACTTCCTCCGGTGGGAATAGGACCGAGAGCGTGAACGGCTGTACCGGCGGTTTGAGTGCCGTCTAGAACGAGATCTAAAAATGAAGAAGAAGTAGTGAATTCAACACAAGAGAAGATGGCAACATTTAGGATAATCAGAGTGTGTGTATGTGTGTGTGTTTTGGGAAGGGTGGGGGCCAAGCTTACCTGGATTTTGACCGAGACCGTGATCTGGACTCGGAGTGTTTGGAGACCCGGGATGGGCTCGGAGAACGAGACCTGCTCTCCGACTTGACCCGAGCTGCACTCCCACGATCCGATTTAGATGGGGAGCGTGACCCCTATTGCCATAGCAGTATGTTAACAACCTTTACTCATTCAAAATTTATTTATTTATACAAATCACAATAAGCAGTCAAATAAAATGGAAGTATCACACAGAGTACACTTATCTAAAATGTGCAGCCTATATACTGCGGGAAAAAGGGTTAGTAATCATGTAATTTCAATAAATGAACCTCTGTGTGGCATATTATTAAAATATCTATATTTTAAAAAATGTACATGTTCACCTGGACTATTAACACGGGGAAAAAAAACATGCATTTTCTTATGTTACAGAAACGGAGCATGATAAAGAAAAGACATTTTGACACAAACAATATATTTACTTAACCTAGGGACACATTCATTCTTCCAGATTCTTTACACGCTACTCCCTTCTCTGAGGATTTCTATCCTTCTTCATTCTTCTTTTTTCAGTTTTCTCATTTTCTGATTCCAGGTCTGTTTCATTTTAGCCATTACACTGCAAGCGCGTCTATCTGACACCATTCTTCCGGTACACTTCCTCCCTTTCCAGCTCTATGTTCTGTTCTGTATATGTTTTCATTAGCCTTCTTTTATCTTGAAAATTTTCTTCATCATTCTTGGATAAAACTCTTCAAATCCTTCAGGTTCAATAACCTTAATGAAAAAAGAACATTCAATGAAATTAAGATCAGAGTGTTTTAGCAAAGGAGAATATCGTGAATGAAATGAAAAGGAAAACTGAATGCATCATTACATTTACAGTGCTGCTTCATTAGGTTTGAGTAACCCAGAATTTATGCAAATGAGCAGAACAATGTAACATATGTGGGAATAAAAAGAGCTTAAATGAATTTTCTAGCAATGTTTCAACCTGATAAACCAGAGAATGAACGCTGAGAACGAAGAGTGGCTTAGGACTAACCCTCATACACTGACACAAAGCAGTACTACAGACAAAAAAAAACAAAAAAACCCGTAAGTGTGCAGAGCTATCCGCACAAAAGGACGCTAGCATAACGTAAGAGATAACTTGTGATTCCTTTCATTAACGAATGAGTCAGGTGCACTCAATTAAACTCACACTGCATGAAGCCAATTTGCACACACCAGTGTTTTAACACTGGTTATTATTTTAAGCCAACTAGCTTGCTAGCTAGCGCCTGTTAGAAGCAGCCTTGCTAGCAGAGCATTAACCTTTCACATTAAAACAGGTATTAGCATAGTTTTCTTCCGTTAACTTGAGGCATTTCTCTGCCTCTGTCTGAAAACTGTAACGCAAGCCGATGAAGCGTTGCAGGTTATTTAGAGTTAGCACACATTACCATTGGCTAGTAGTTAGTGTATCCTAACAATGTTCTTTACTGAAAGCCACACGGAAGAGAAAGGGAAGAAAGGAAGATGTCACCGATATCATTCGACGGGAACTACTTACCCGCCCTTCATAGTTTCCTTCCTCAAGGTCACTCATTGCTCGGTATAGCTAATAAAAGCAGTTATTTGGACAAAAAATAAGCAAGTGGGCTTATATGCTACGTATATTTTCTGGTCAGTAGCTAGAAGATGGCGCGTAACGTAGGTTGCTGATATGCTTATGAGCCGCAGGATCTGACGTCATCTCCCACGCCCCCCCCCCCCTTTCGACATAAAAAAAACATGGCGAACACACGGAGAAGTTGTAATGTTCTTTCACGGACCATTAGTGTCGCGGAGAAACATTAAGATGTTGTAGTACAAAGCAACGCTGCCACACAGGATAAAGTAATTTATTGTCAAGTAGAGCAAAATTTCTCATTGTAGAGAGTGAGAGTTAAGATCGTTGGAGGCAGAGTAGAGGCTACAGTCACGTGAAGAAACATGATTTAAAAAAAACATTTAAATGTTCAAGAAGGACCTGCTTTGTATTTCAGTGCTGTGCTTCTCTTTATGTCAGAGGACAGGACACAAACTTACTGGTGATCTTTTTTTAAAATCATGATGTTAATCTGCAGGTGAATTACACTTCCGCGTCAGATGTACACCATAATCGGAACCCCATTTTAACCTTACGCCGGAACCTTCTGTATAACCTGACGTACTCCTCAGGACAAACGTAACTACAGGTCAACGACTTGAATGGCGACAAAGGTTGCGGTGTAGGTATTAGGAGCTCCCGGTTGCAAAGTCAGTTGTGCCAGATTTTCCGCAGAAGTCTAAATCACACTTTACAACCCCATTTCCTAAAAAAGAAAAAAAAAGCTCCACCAAATACAAGTTACAAAAAAGACAAACGTCCAGCTGCAGTTAAATATTAAGCAACTTTATTCCTGCAGTGTGACACTTTAGCTTGAGGTCATAAAATAAAGTCCACGGGTTAGCAACAAAGTTGTTTTCTACATTATGCTCCTGGAGTTGTGTCTTCTTTCCTTCTTCATACACATTGGAAGATGGTGAAGTTTTTATTCTACTTCTCAATAAAAACATGAACAAATAGTAGTGCTCTTTTTGTTGTATTTAAATAAAGATTCCCAGACATGCATTATACCTAGTACTGGACTAAACTGCATTTTTCTTTTAGTGTTGGACTAGGCTTTCTGGGAAGCATGCTGCTACTGCTTAAATTATTATTATTTTTTTTTTAATCAGTTATTTTACAGTTTGTTTGTTTTTTTGTTTTTTTGGAAAATAGGGTTGTGTGAGTAAAGACATCTCCCATCAGGTCACCACCTTATCATTTTTACTTCATTGCATCATGTAGCAAATTAAGGTCGCGGCACTACTCGATTATTTAGTCCTGTGATCGCCACATACTGTTAAGCTGAAACAAAGCTGCTTTAACTGCCTTATTTTTCCTCACTTTTATTCTGCCACTCATGCTGTGTTTTGTATCATCCCCCTCCTGCCAAAAAAAAGGAAGAAATGTTGATAAAAATGTTGCAAATCCAATATAACGACCAACAAGTTTTTCTTTCTTGGTGGACAAACCAGTGTTAACTATGCTAAGAGCACAGGTCCAATGCAGATGATTTAATTTTAAAAGGTTTCTATAATCACAGTGCACCATGAATATGTGTAAGCAGTGAGTCACTTATCCTAACAGCATTAGTGGGCTAAAAACTCACTGCATATACATTCAGTCTCTTTGAGCTACTGGATTTGAAGTGAGACCGAGCAAGCACACACACTCGCACGCATTTACAGCGGCAAATAGGCATCATCCCATGATATTCTCCATACGTCTCACAGCAACAGCACATACACATTTATATTGCCTTCACATGGAGTGCAAATAATATTCTTTGGATTTTTTGTTACAAGAAAACTACCTAGTTAATTTTGCCTTAAAACCTCATTAGCTGTAAGCTAAAGGAAGAATCTTCAAGTTCTTTAGTTCTTAGCAATCGTGGCAGCAAAAAACTAAAACTGTATTCTAAGCTATCATACATGTACAGCATTTTGATATGTTGAAGTAGTACTGTAACTTGTTGGCGATGGGAGCATTTTAAGCTGGTTTTATGATTAAGCATTTAGAATTCAGGAACAGTTTCAAGCATCTGCTTTTGGCATATACTTAAACAGTCACCTTACATTTGAAAAAATAGGCATAATAGTTTCAGCAATAGAAATACAAAACAAGAAAAAGATGTGCTGGAAGTATTGGTACAAAAAAATGAAATAAATATCAGCATTGAGAGACTAAAGAGGTCCTCTTTCTTCTGAGTTGGATGAATATTTCTGAGACACATTCCATAACTTAAGCTTCTGGGCATCCATAAGAATCCCTGTAGCTCTTTATTTATCTGATGTTGCTTCATTAGCAATGAAAGATGTAAAACTTGGTGTGCTTATTTAACAAACAAAAAAAAAAAAGATATAATATTTGGCCTTCTTAATGTGGTCGGGCCCTATTAGGTATGTGTGGATGAAGGCGATATGTCCCTGGGTGACTTCCAGGTTTCTCCTGCTGCTTCACAGGTTTCTGCAGGGCTACAGGAGCAGATGCAAGCAGGCCCCCTGCTGTGTGGGAGCTGTTTGTAGAGGAGGAATTGACCACCAGTTCAATTTTCCCCTCCAGTTTTACAAGCCGTGTCAGAATGTCATCCAGTAACACAGCTATAGTCCTCTTCAGGTCAGCTGTTTGAGTAAAGTACAGAGAAAAAGACAGAAGGGGGAAAAAATCAGTCCTTGAGGTTGCTTTTCTTGCAACTATGAGACACACTTGTCATGTAGGTATTAGTAAAATATGGTGCAATATCATCATACTTTCCATTTAAAAAGTATGGTAATATTGCACCACTTCTGAATTTTTCTAAATTCTTACCATATCCTGCCATGGAGGTTCCTTGTGGCCCACCTGGTGCATTCTGGTTCTCTTCTGTCAGCACTTTGACATATCGCCGGCTTAGCTCCAGTATCTTCTCACGCAACTCTGCACTGCTCTGATGGCGAGGCTGCTGCACAGTGTACCTCAGCAGCATAAGTCCCCATGCCAGGCCAAATGCCAGGAGTAGCATACTCAGCTTCTGAGACATGTTCCTACGCAGTAGTGCAGCCAGCATGGTACTGTGGTGAAGGGGAAAGGTGGCTATGAATGCCCGGTCTGAGGCTGAAGGTCTTGAGTTCTTTGAATTTTTAAACAATCAGCTTGACAACGTAGCAGTTCCTGCAGGAAACAAATCCTGCTGTCCTTAGTCAAACAGAGGTCAAAGCTGTCAAAGTCTGCTGCACATCCTGCTCATCGTGAGGGGATATGAAGAAGTCTGGAGTAACAGCAGAAGCCAAGAAGTGTAGCCACAGACATCGGCACTCAGGGGTGTTTGGAAAGGTGCTTGGGTTGCAAGATGTGTGAGACCAAATCACCAATGCAGACTGGGGTTTTAGGCAGGGGATCAGCAGACATGGCTGAAAATGCTTTAAAAACAAACAAGAACAAGAAAAAGAAGACAACAGACAGAAATAACAACATTAATATAGAAGGAAAAACATGCTTACATTAGGGATGCAATGAAAAATCTGACAAAACAATTACTTTAAACACTGCAGCAAAACTCCCTCCCACAATCCAAAGACATGCAGTTAGTGAGATAAGGTTAACTTGTGATTCTAAATTATACACAGGTGTTAATGCGAGTGTGACTGATTCTCTCTCTCTCTCTGTGTGTTAGCCTTGCTTCAGACTGGCGACCTCCCCAGGGTGTACACCATCTCATGCCCTATGGTAGCTGGAATAGCCTCCAGCCCCCCACGACCCTAATAAGGATGAGCAGAAGAAAATGGATGAGATGGATTTTTTTTTTTGCAGTGCTGCAATGTCATGATTAAAAGAAAAAAAAGCTTAAACCCATTGCAGTCTCATTTTTGTTCATCCTCTAAATTTGTAAGGGCTCACAATGTTTTTAAACACAGAATGAGTATTTCTGGGTGAGTTAATGAAAGCACAACCTCATGTGAATTATCACATCTATCTTATCATTAATAGCAAGGTTTCCTGAAATACCTTGTTGTTACTAGTGACATTTTCCCCCTTTTACTGCTTTTGGTTACAAACACTAAGCTACAAATCTCTTTCAGCCCTCTTAGCCCAGAAACCTGATTACTAGTTTAGATTTCACCGTACCTACTTTGCAGCTCCAAATAGGGGAGAGAGAAACAGACAGAGGGCATTCATACCCCAATCCCACAATGGGCACAATAGTGACAAATAATCTGCAAGCGCACTGTGCACAGTCAAAGCACATTAGACAATTTCTCAGCTTTCACAACTTTGTCACCAGGTTCATTTTCTGAAAAATCTCTTGGGTGAGGGAGTGTCACTTCTTTTTGTGAGGCTGGAGAGGAGATGGTGATTGAGCAGATAAATTATGAAAAGATGAGTAACACAATCTGTTAAGTGATGCTTCTCATACACGCAAACATGTCCTTTCTGTGACCTGGGCAAAACCAGTTATCAGCAAATACAAACTCAACTAGGAAGAAATTCTTAAAGTAACGGTATAAGTAAGTCAGGAAGTGAGACTCTTGTCATGACCGGACCATAATTTCATGGAAACACAAACGTTTCAGACAAATAATCTTCCACCTGGTTAGAGGACTGTTTAACACAGCGTGCCTAATCGGGCGCATGGCTTATCGGACTCCTTACCAGCCATTCACATCTATCCCAGAAGTTAAATATTGACCACAACAGCTGTCGCATGTCATCTGCACAGGCAAACAACTGGCAGGGTCAGCGAATGGTTCAATTGGGCGACAGGTATGCAATACCGAACTGTCAACAGTGCTTGGGTTTTACAAAAAAACAAAATACAGAACTTACTGAACCTGTTTATCACCTAGCAGAATATAAAATAAACATGTTTAAAGTAGATTATCCAACCCAGCACTGAAAACGAATCCAAACCACACGTGTGCTTCGTTTCTGATAGGCATTTCGGGACATTTGTTTTTAACTACTTAACAGTCACTGAAGCGGTTTCCAACTCTGTCGATATTTCACGTTAGCTCGACATTTCTGCTCGCCAGCACTGAAACCATACAGTCAACAGCGAAAAGGGAAGGTAAACCTTTTTCGTGTCCCAAAACATTTAAAAAAAAAAAACACACACATTTCAACCCACCGTGTTATCTGGGAAACTAACTTGAACTGAAGCGGAAATTTGCAGGCTGCAGATAGGCAGTGACGAGGCGACTGTGAGCTCCAGCGGCTACCGGTGGCTGACACTGAATGATGCTTGTTGTTTGGCAACCCAGGGCTGTTGTTGCTGTGTTGTGAACGGCACCCTCCCTTTGTTTCCGTTAACGAAAAGTTAGCTACCGAACTTCGAGTGAAGGTGTCTTTTCCGGCTCAAAGTCATTCCGCCGCCTTCCGACACAGTCTCGAAAAACCGACGGGGTCTCTGTATGCAAAAGTCGGCAGCTAAATTCCAAGCATGCAACTGCGCTGAATGTCATGGTTCCACTGGACGTCTCGTGCATGCGTCAGTGCTATTGAATTATGGGAAATGTATTCATACCCTACTTATCGTGGTGTATCGCCTCTAACCAAATATTTTATTGAATTATTTTCGTTTATCTACGAGTATTATTTAAGGGGAAACCTTTAAGTAACAATGAGTTTATTCCGTAAAAAAAAAATCATACGGCATATTGTAACGTTCACGACGATAGCAAGCCACAAATCCGTCATTGCTTTGTGTGCGCGTGTGTGTAGTTCACCCTGCGCCCGTTAGAGGGAAGTCTAAAACCATCTCCATGGCAATTTTAAAACTGGTTGTAAACACAAAGAGTAGCTACTGTGCAAGGAGCGAGCTACAGCTACAAGTTAAACCCTCTAACAACATGGAGAAAATAGATCTCGATCAATCCGCTTTAAAAGCAGTTGATGACTACTGGGAATACAGAAGGTTTGTTTGGCGAGTGTCTTTTGACTGATGGTTTTGGGTTTTCAGTCACCGTCACGTGACAGCTTTTGCCAAAGTTAACATAGCGACTATGCTATTACACTTAGATAAGCTCGTATTATAGGAAAACAAGGAATATAAATAGATTTAACTGTATGTAATATTATTCCTATTGGTGGTTCGTCTTCTGAAGGATTGTGGGTGATGATGATGGAGAAAAGCTCTTCACTCCAGAGCAATATGAGGAATACAGGAAGAAGATGTTTTCTCAGCGACTTAAAAACCGGTTATATGTGAGCTATGGAGTGCCTGGGGGTATTGACTGTAAGCTGATTGGCCCAGAAACACAGTGCTTCTGTGCACATAGGTAACACATTCCTTTATAACTCACACACTCAGACATCCTTCTCTCTTGCACATGCTCAGTAATGAAATGTAATCCAGGTACAAGCAACATAAAACAGACTGGGAAGTGGTTCCCTCTGAGCGACCCCTGGCCTTACCATGCAGAGTCAAGGGATGCTGCTGCCCTGCCTACGAGTACGTCCCTCGGCTTGGACCAAACCCTGTGCGCTGCAGGTGTAAACACTTACCTCAACATCACAGTGAAGCAGCAGGCCACTTGTGCAAGTCTTGTGAGTCTGAAATCACTACATTTTAAAACTGTATTACAGGTTTACTCCACTCAGTGTGAACTCCAGCACCTATGTGGACTCTTGTTCTGCTGACTTTTTTATCAGGCAGTTCTTGTTCTGGATTCCAGAGTCCCTACACCTGTGGGTGTGGCCAGCCCAGCTCTGAACACCAGACTCTGGTAAGACAACTCAAACATCAAACATGTTTTCTTCTTGTTAAAGAAGCAGATGCTAGATCTAGATTTCTATTACTCTGCATAATTTCAAATAAAACTTTATTGTGTTTGCTCTATCTTCTTGGCAGGTTGAGACAAAACTGGAGAGGCAGGCACGGGGTCAGCCTGTGGGCAGGGATGTCCCTTATGCTGCCATGGGTGGGCTGACAGGGTTCAGCTCCTTGATTGATGGTTACCTAGCTTTGGAAATCAGTGGCTCAGGTAAGACTATAACTGCATATAACCTTTTTGTCTTTCTTCCAAGGGAAGCAAAAGTAGAGATCCGTTTTTACACATGTATGGTTTAACACCAACACCCTATAAGCACTAAGACCATTAAAGCCCTTTTTTTTTTAATCTCAGGCTCTTTGAATTATAGAGTGAGGGATTTGGTGATCCAGCCTTTGCTAGGGTGTTTTTGGATGCATTCAACTGTATGTACTGTTAGTTCCATTAAAGCACATAGGAGGGCAGCAAAGTGCAGTGGAGTGTCAGTGTTGAAATGAAGAAACCTGCAGTGCTGCGATTTGTTCATGAAAAGTGAAAAGTGTAGAGTAAAGACTGTGTGTGGTTATCTCGATTTGGAGTACAGCTGTGTGGACACAAAAATATATGTCTTTCTTTTGATTATAGTACAGTGTGTAAAAAAGATTCAAACTTTATGCAGTGGACTGATTACTCCATAATTTTGCATATATTTTGCAATGACACCTCCTTCCATACATGATTTCCATACTCTCTGCTGTATTTTTTTTTAGATCAAGAAAGCCCTCAGCAGAGCTGCTCGGCATTAAAGACCAACCAAACATCAGCTAAAGCATCAAGGTTTGCTCTCTGTAAGAGAGGGACCAACAAACAATAAAATACAACATCGGTTTGTGTGTATCCATAGGATAATGAATATGAAATACTCAATACATACATATTTGGACAATGCTGAAATTGTTGTCATTTTTGGGAGATTTTAGATAAAAGAAAAAAGCTTTAATTCAAGGGTTTAACCAAAGTCCTGCATTGACTGATTAAGAATTACAGCTGTATAACTAAATGGGGGTGTGGCGAAATGCGGATTGTATGTGGATTGCAGGCAGTGAGTAAGCATTGTAAGAATTACAGCCATTTTTATACACTATCCCCCATTTACAGAGGCGTAATTAGATAAACCTGTTATGAAACGACTGTATGCAGGCAGGAAAAGGACCCAAAGTGCAGACTCCGGAGACAAACGTTCAGCACAGCTTTAATGCTGAACTCAAAAGTGTAACAAAACTGAGACTACAAAATACACCTACGCAGACAGCACACACAGCAAGATACGAGTAGATCATGACACTGACAAACTGAAACACAGGGCTTAAATACATAGAGGGAGCAATCAGGGAATGGGCAACAGGAGGGAAACACAGCTGGGGCAGATCAGGCCTAACGAGACAAGGGGAAGCAAAACCAGACACATTAACATGAGACATGGACTTTCAAAGTAAAACAGGAAACATAACACAGACTCACAGGCAAGCACTATAACAAAGGGAACAGAGACGTGGGACCAGGGCAGACACAGACACTGACTGGACGTGGGGATACTGCAGACAGGGGAGACAGCAACTATTGAACACAGACAGAAAACCAGAACACTAAAACTCTAACCAAACCCCACCCAGAGAACCTAAACTAAGAATAATCCTAAAACCCATAAAGCAAAGCTAGAATATAATGAAATAACAAAATCAAAGAACCAAGAACACAAAACACTGGGTCGACGACCCAGGGACCCTAACAAAACCAGCATAATTTGAAATAGGTTATTTTTAATACTTCTGTGAAAATCCTGCGCAGTCAGTGACTGCCTGAAGTCTAGAACCCATGGAGATCATCAAATGCTCTTTTTCCTGCATGAGATGCTCAGCGACCTTCTGTTGCTGCTTTTGGGTGTATGTGCTTTGAGTTTGGTCTTCAGAAACTATAAAACACACTCTGTTGGGCTCAGATTGGATGACTGGCTTAGTCATTGAAGAATATCCCATTTCTGTGCATTGTGAAACTCTTCGGTTGCTCTTGCAGTATTCTTTGGGTCATTATCCATTTGCACTTTGACATGGTGTTCCAGTTTTGCAGTATTTGGCTGCATCTGTGCACACAGTATAGTCCTGTAGAAAGCTACTTTAAGCTGCAGTCTTATTCACAAGAGGTCGCCACAGGGGTAGCTCGCATGTTTGATTTGGCAGATTTTTTACCGTAGGTTGGCCTTCCTGATGTAACCCCAAAGGGATTTGTGTCTCCCCTTGGGATCGAACCAGAGATTTCCCGCTTATTAGGTGAATGTGTAAACCGCTTACTGCTATATTTAGATTAAGGAATCCACAGGCTATGTTTGCAGCCTGCACTGTGCATACTATCTGCATACAGTCACACCCTCATTTCTCTGCATATGCTATGGCTGTAATTTACAATCAGTTGATGCACTACTTTTGTTAAACCCCCTGAATTAAAAATCGGAAACTTCGAAAATCTGCACATCACATGTTGATTGTTTGATTTAAAATCTACCATGTGTGCAGAAGCAAGACTAAGGTTAAAAAAATGTCATTGGACTGCAAAGGTACGCCTTTTTCAGAGTTGAAGAACAAGCAGCTTGATTCAAAGTGAAATCATTTCAGCTTTCACTGAAAAGTATGTCTTTGTCAGTGTCGTGACAAAGTGATATAATCAGCTGTCAGCAAAAGCTGTGACTAAATCCCACCATGCAACTGAACAATTACTGACAATACAGTATATCGGTTCAGTCAAAGAGCTGAGTGGGGGAACCACTGGCAACATTATTACGATGATCCAGATTTTGACACACTGTTTTTGTGAACTTTTAAGAAGACGAAACAATGCTTTATCAAGTAGATGTTGTCTGTTTTATAATGCTGTATGTGCTGCCATGATGCATGAACCACGGTCCTCTTTATTTGGCGTCTCTGCTGAAACTCACAAGTGTGACTATGATGGTAAAAATTAAGATATGATGTATAATAATGGATTGCATTTATATAGCGCTTTTCGAGACCCTCAAAGCGCTTTACAATTTCACTATTCATTCACTCTCACACTGGTGGAGGCAAGCTACAGTTGTAGCCACAGCTGCCCTGGGGCAGACTGACAGAAGCGAGGCTGCCATATCAGCACCTCTGGCCATCACCAGTAGACGGTAGGTGAAGTGCCTTGCACACAATGACCGAGACGGTCCGAGCCGGGGCTCGAACCGGCAACCTTCCGATTACAAGACGAACTCTTGAGCCACGATCGCCCTGAATGACTAAATTATTTATTTAGTCATCTTCAGTTGAATTATTATTAAAGTTATTTAAACTCAAATTAATCCAAAGGTCAACCTTTTTAAAGTATATAAGACTACAATTTTCCTAAAGTCTGTGTGTAAT